GAAGAGGATATCTAAAACGAATGCACCAATTCTGGAAAGAACAACATCCAGAATCAGAAATAACAGAACAGAGACTAGCAGATCAACGCCGATTTATAACACGAAATAAAGTATTTACAGAAACAGAATTGGACGAACTGCAAAGGTTTACCCAGGGCAAAGAAATCAAAGCCTTACAAGAAGTAATTCAGAATGTAGAGGCAAACCAGGGGGAGTTGGCAGTGAAAGAATCCAGTAGAGATATACAACTGTTCTCATTTGGAAACCAGGCACCTCTTCCTCAGGAAGAACAAAACCCTCTAACTAAAGAAATAAAAGAATTGAAACAAAGAATAACTGAGCATCTAGAACAGCACAAAAACAACAGAATAAGGCTACCTGCATTGAAGCTTGTTCCAAAGAAACAGCTAGCACAAGCATTAAAAGATGCAAATATTGCAATATCAAGTATAAGCACCAATTCATGCAAGAAACAAACCAACTAATGTACAGCACAGCTGCAGTTATAACAGAATACCTGGGATGCAAAATCAACAAAGAAGAAAAACAAACAAACAGTGCACCAGAAAAATGGAAGGTTAGACTAGAAAATAAGATCAGCAAGTTAAGATCACATGCAAGCAAGCTAGAACAGATGAAAGAAAAGAAGCTGAAGAACAAGAAGACCAAAGAATACCTAATCAAGAAATACCACTTAGAAACAAGGAAGATCAAGGAAGCACTGGAAATAATAAAGCAACAAATAACAGCTATAGCCAGGAAAATCAGTAGATATGAAGCTCGAATTGCAAACTATAGGCAGAACCTCCAATTTCAATCCAATCAGAAACGTTTCTACCAATCCATCAATGGAGAAACTGCAAGGAATCAGTCAGTACCTGACAAGGAAGAAACAGTGCAGTTCTGGAAGCAGATATGGGATAACCCAAAGAAATACAACAAGGATGCGGCTTGGTTAAAAGAGGTGGATGCAAATAAAACAGAAGTTGAAATGAAAGAACTAGTAATAACAACAAAAATGGTAGAAAAAAGAGCAAAGAAAATCAAAAATTGGTCAGCACCAGGTGAAGATGAACTGCATGGGTTTTGGTTGAAACATCTAACTGTTATACACCCACTCATTGCCAAACAGTTCAACAATATACTACAAGGAGGAGAAATTGAAAAGTGGCTAACAACTGGGAAAACCTACCTAATAATGAAAAATCCAGCAAAAGGGGCAACACCAGGTAACTACAGGCCAATTACCTGCTTACCAACAACTTTCAAATTACTAACTGGTGTAGTAGCTGATGCAGTGCAACAGCATCTAGTTGAAAACAATCTCTTTCCACCTGAGCAGAAAGGAAACCGCCCCAATAGCAGAGGAACAAAAGATCAACTCCTAATAGACAAAATGATCTTGGAAAACTGCAAGAGAAGGAAGACCAACCTGAATGTGGCATGGATTGACTACAAAAAGGCATTTGACTCTCTGCCACATGATTGGATAATAAAGTGCCTAGAAATAACAGGAGTCAGTAGAAACATCAGAAAATTTGTGCAAAGATCGATGGCACAATGGAAGACACAGTTGCAGATCAATGGTGAGAGGCTGGGAGAGGTTAATATCAAGAGAGGAATATTTCAAGGAGATTCATTATCACCATTACTATTTGTTATTGCACTGTTTCCTCTGTCAACAATACTGAATAACTCAGGACATGGCTATCAAACATCAAAAACATCTGCCAGACTATCCCACCTCCTTTATATGGATGATCTGAAGCTGTATGGAAAAACATCATCTGAAATAGAATCGCTGCTCAACACTGTCCGTATATATAGCCAAGATATTGTAATGGAGTTTGGCTTGGACAAATGTGCCACACTTACTATCAAACAAGGAAAAATAATGAAAACTGAAGGAATCAAGATGCCCCACGAAAATAACATTAAGAGTCTGGATGAGGAAGAGTACTACAAATACTTGGGTATCCTTCAAGCTGACAACATCAAGCACACTGAAGTCAAGAAAAAGATTAGAGGTGAATACATCAAGAGAGTGAAGAAGATCTTAAAGTCCAAACTCAATGGAGGAAATACCATAAAGGCAATCAACACCTGGGCAATCCCAGTCATTAGGTACACAGCTGGAATAGTGGACTGGACTCAAGCAGAACTAAAAGCAATGGATAGGCAGACCAGAAAAATAATGACAATGAATCATGCCCTTCATCCACGCAGTGACATTGATAGACTTTATCTACCAAGGCAAATAGGTGGGCGTGGAATGCTACAAGTACATCAGATGGTTGAAGAAGAAAAAATGGCTTTGGAAGAATATCTGAAGAACAATGATGAAGATGCACTGAAATTAGTATATCAGGAAGGCTTACTAACTACTGGAGAGACCAAACTGGCCTACAAGAAAGACCAAATGAAGAACAGAATAGAGGCATGGGAAGACAAAGCACTACATGGCCAATACATGAAAAAAATAGCTGGGAAAGCAGATAATAATAAAACCTGGCAATGGCTAAGAGCAGGAAAATTGAAGAAAGAGACCGAGGGACTAATTCTGGCTGCACAAGACCAAGCCTTAAGGACAAATGCATACAAAGTCAAAATTGAGAAGACAGCAACAGACAGTAAGTGCCGCCTATGCAAAGAAGCTGAAGAAACAGTGGACCACTTGGTAAGCTGTTGCAAGAAGATTGCACAAACTGATTACAAGCAGCGGCATGACAAAGTAGCAACAATGGTGCATTGGAAGATCTGCAAAAAATATCATTTGCCTGTAAGCAAAAACTGGTGGGATCATAAAATAGAGAAAGTCATAGAAAATGATAAAATTAAACTGCTCTGGGACTTCAGAATTCAAACAGACAAGCACCTGCAACATAACACCCCAGACTTAACAATTGTCGATAAGAAAGACAAAAAAGTCTGGATAGTGGACGTGGCAGTGCCTGGAGATAGCAGAATAGAAGAGAAAGAACTGGAGAAGATAACAAAATACAAAGACCTACAAATAGAAATAGAAAGACTGTGGCAAAAGCAAGCAAGGGTAGTACCAATAGTCATAGGCTCCTTGGGTGCAATCCCAAAACAACTGGAGCACCACTTGAACACCATTGGCATTGACAAATTCGCTATTAGTCAATTGCAAAAGGCGGCCTTATTAGGAACTGCTTCCATCCTGCGACGATATCTGTAATACCATCAAACATCCACATCTGCCTATCCCAGGTCCTGGGTAAGGACTCGATAGGTAGACAAAATGCCAAATCCAGTCTGAACATCTGGCTGACTGTGCGATGATCGATAATAATAATAACAGACAGTAAGTGCCGCCTATGCAAAGAAGCTGAAGAAACAGTGGACCACTTGGTAAGCTGTTGCAAGAAGATTGCACAAACTGATTACAAGCAGCGGCATGACAAAGTAGCAACAATGGTGCATTGGAAGATCTGCAAAAAATATCATTTGCCTGTAAGCAAAAACTGGTGGGATCATAAAATAGAGAAAGTCATAGAAAATGATAAAATTAAACTGCTCTGGGACTTCAGAATTCAAACAGACAAGCACCTGCAACATAACACCCCAGACTTAACAATTGTCGATAAGAAAGACAAAAAAGTCTGGATAGTGGACGTGGCAGTGCCTGGAGATAGCAGAATAGAAGAGAAAGAACTGGAGAAGATAACAAAATACAAAGACCTACAAATAGAAATAGAAAGACTGTGGCAAAAGCAAGCAAGGGTAGTACCAATAGTCATAGGCTCCTTGGGTGCAATCCCAAAACAACTGGAGCACCACTTGAACACCATTGGCATTGACAAATTCGCTATTAGTCAATTGCAAAAGGCGGCCTTATTAGGAACTGCTTCCATCCTGCGACGATATCTGTAATACCATCAAACATCCACATCTGCCTATCCCAGGTCCTGGGTAAGGACTCGATAGGTAGACAAAATGCCAAATCCAGTCTGAACATCTGGCTGACTGTGCGATGATCGATAATAATAATAATAGTAGTAGTAGTAGTAGTAAAGTTGGAAAGGACCTTGGAGGTCATCTAGTCCAACCCCTTGCTCAGGCAGGAAACCCTACACCATTTCGGACAAATGGCTGTCCAGTCTCTTCTTAAAAACTTCCAGTGTTGGAGCGTTTACTGCTTCTGGAGGCAGGCTGTTCCACTGGTTAATTGTTCTCCCTGTCAGGATAGTTCTAGGTTGCTTCTCTCCTTGATTAGTTTCCAACTGTTGCTTCTTGTCCTGCCTTCAGGCGCTTTGGAGAATAGCTCTTCTTTGTGGCAGCCCCTGAGATACTGGAAGACTGCTATCATGTCCCCCCTCGTCCTTCTCTTCGTTAAACTAGACATACCCAATTCTAGCAGCCGTTCCTTATATGTTTTAGCCTCCAGTCCCCTAATCCTCTTTGTTGCTCTTCTCTGTACTCTTTCTAGAGTCTCAACATCTTTTTTACATCGTGGTGACCAAAACTGGATGCAGGATTCCAAGTGTGGCCTTACCAAGGCATTGTAAAGTGGTATTAATACTTCACGTGATCCTGATTCTATCCATTCATTCATTCATTCATTCATTCATTCATTCATCTGCATTCCAGACTTCTTTTCGTGCTAGGGAATCAGCAGGAGTCTAGAAGCCCTATTTTTCAACAAACAAAGGTAAACTTCGACTTACAAGCTTTAATTTGGTGATCGTTTGAAGTTACAAATGTGACTTATGACCGTTTTTTTCACACTTACGACCGTCACAGCATCCCCACTGATCAAAATTCGGACGCTTGGCAACCAGATCAGGTTTGTGACAGTCACATGTCCCTTGGGGGGCTCCTGGGATCCCCTTTTGTGACATTCCAGCAAGTCAATGGAAAAAGCCAGATTCTCTTAATAACTAGGTTACTAACTTATCCACTGCAGTGATTCACTTAACAACGGTGGCAAGAGAGGTCACAAAACGGGGCAAAACACACTCCACCATAGTCTTGCTTACCAAGGGACTCCATTTTGGGCTCAACTGTGCTCGTAAGTCGAGGACTGCCTGTCTATTTCATTAAAAGCCCAAAGCTTTCGGGAGACGCAGCGTCTCATGAAGGACGTCACTCTTCACAAAGCTTCTGCTTTCTGTTCATTGGGAAAGTCGGAAAAGTCCCATTTTTAACCTCTGGCCCTTCGGGCCCCAAGGAGGAAGGGAGGATGCCCACCTCCTTGCCGCCTCCCCTAGCTTCTGTGGAGGAAGGGACCCCGGGCGGGCATGGTGAGCCTCGACAGGAGAGAAGCGGAAGTGAGGAGCAGTTTGCAGAAATCTAAACAGGAAGCCCGCCAAGCAGGGGCAGCCAAAGACTACTTGGTGCCCCAGGCAGGAAATCAAAATGGAAGGGCCCCCTCCTCCCCCCCCCATCACCAGGGAAGGAACTTCTGGGGAGCCCCCCCCCACCTTGAAGTTCTCCCACCTTCAGTGGTGGGAAAAGAAAACCTGAATGCACAGGTAGAGAGTAAGGGGTACCTGGCTCAACAGGAGTTAATTGTGAGAGGGATCTCGGAGTCCTAGTGGACGGTCACTTCAGTGTGAGCCAGCCGTGGGCTGCAGCTGCCAAAAAAGCCAACACAGTGCTAGGCTGCATCAACAGAGGGATAGAATCAAGATCACGTGAAGGGTTAATACTACTTTACAAGGCCTTGGTGAGGCCACACCTGGAATGCTGCATCCAGTTTTGGTCATCACGATGTAAAAAAAGATGTTGAGACTCTAGAAAGAGGGCAGAGAAGAGCAACCAAAACGATCAGGGGACTGGAGGCTAAAGCATACAAGGAACGGTTGCTGGAATTGGGGTGTCTAGTCTAGTGAAAAGGAGGATGGGGGGACATGATGGCAGTATTAGAGGGGCTGCCACACAGAAGAAGGGGGGGGTCTCAACCTGTTCTCCAAAGAACCCGAAGGCAAGACAAGAAGCAACGGATGGAAACTTAGGGCAGGCACGAGTTGCCAAGTGTCCAAATTTTGGTCACATGGCCCCGGGGATGCTGTAACGGTCGTAAGTGTGAAAAACAGTCCTTTTTTCCACTGCCGTGGTAACTTTGAACGGTCACTAAACAAACGGTTGTAAGTCAAGAACGATTTTTGCACCCAGCTATGGCAAAGGGCTCAAGTGCAGCTGGATGGAGGCAGCGTGTGAGTTTCGCCCGTCAGCCAAAAAAATAGTTTTGGATGCCCTGCTGACTCATTCTCGGTTTGAACATGATGTCCTCCCAGTGACTCAGTGTCCCCAGATGCCGGGGAGGGGAGGGCAGATCTGCCTGTGGCCTGCCAGCACCCGATCCCTGGCAGACGCCAATTCCAGGGTGGGCCCTGGGGGAGCCTCCTTTCCCATAAGGCAGGGGTTCTCAACCTTGGCAACTTTAAGACTTGTGGACTTCAACTCCCAGAATTCCTCAGCCAGCTTTGCTGGCTGAGGAATTCTGGGAGTTGAAGTCCACAAGTCTTAAAGTTGCCAAGGTTGAGAACCCCTGCCATAAGGGGTGGGCTCCTCCAGGCCAGAACAGACCCTTTCTGCCAGGACGGGCCAACCCCTCAAGGCCAGCGTCCCATCAGCACTTCCCCTTCCTGTGCAGGAAACTCATGACTCTCGGCTTCTTCCCGGGCGGTGCAGCCGACGGGCTCTTTTGCAATGCACGTGCAGGACCCTCTCCTTCCCCCCCCCCACGCCCCCCCCCCCGAGGCCCTGCCTAAGTCTGCTTCCGGAGTGGCTCAGAGTCTCTTGCCCAACTTCACCACCATCATCAGCTTCTCTGAATGCCTGCGAGATACACAAAGCCAACGTGGCCAGGCCGCTTCCAACATCTGGCAGAAGCAGTGCTAGCTTTGGGGTCCCACAGAGAACCTGCAGAATCCTTGGCAGGAATTCAAGGGGACCTTCTGGCTAAGGAGTGAACGGTGGGGTTCTTGGTAGCTCATCATCATCATCATCATCATCATCATAACAACAACAATAATAATAAAGTTGGAAGGGATCTTGGAGGTCCTCTAGTCCAACCCCCTGCTCAGGCAGGAAACCCTATACCATTTCATACAAATGGCTGTCCAGTCTCTTCTTAAAAACTTCCAGTGTTGGAGCATTCACCGCTTCTGGTGGCAGGTGGTTCCACTGGTTTTCTTGCAGACGTTTCCTGACCCAACTAGGTAACATGACCAGCGCTGGAAGGGAGAGGGGTTTGGTTTTTCCCTTTTAGCCCTGATAGTAGTAGTAAAGTTGGAAGGGACTAGTTGGGTCATGAAACGTCTGCATGAAAACCACCAAGCTCAGAGATCAACAAGCACCCTCAAATCCTTGGCCTTCGATGAGCCCACCCAGGCTTTCGAAGGTAGAGGCTTTCGGAGGTGCTGGACAGCGATGCTAGTGGACAAACTCATCCGTGGAGTGGCAGGTTGGACTAGATAAGCTCAGGCATCCAGTGGCAGAAGGCCTGTTGCGGGGGACAGAGTGTGAAAGGGGGTTCCCAGATGAAACCCTGAAAAAGTACTGCAATTTTCTGGGATCCCCGACTGTCTTTAGGGCGGTTCCTCCTCTGCACCCCCCCCCCCGTTATGCAAAGGCTGCAGCTATGTGCAAATGGGATGCAAAGGGGGCTGAACCCGCCCTGCCCTGCCCCAGGCACACAAACTCCTTTGTCTCTCCTTGCCAGGAACGTGAGTCATCAGGATCTGTTCGACATGGCGCAAGCCCAACAGCCACTTCTCTCTTGCCACACCTCTGGGGCCATGCAAATAGGGTGGCCTCAATGCTTCCCCTTGGCACATGGCAGAGGCCGGCTCTTCCCCTGGGCTGGCTGGTGGCTTCTGGGTTCCAAACTCAGCCTGGCACTGATGACGTTCCCTAGCTGGGTCACGAAACGTCTGCAAGAATACTGCAGCCAGAAGTGTAAGGACTGGTGTCAAAGCAAAAACATCCAATGTTTTGACAAGACTGTTTTGTTCCCAACAGGGCAGCCCTGGGGGGGGGGGTCTCGACGCACTGAGCATCCCCCCCCCACCCCCGCGCAGGACGGCAAAACAAGGCTCCTCTTTCCCTCCCCAGGAGGACGATGCCACCCTAAGATATATATAACCCAGGATTTACAAGCCACCGTGGATGCACCATGGAACCCATTGGGCCCATTGGGGGTGGGGTGGGGGGGACGTGTTTGGGGCCAGCCAAGGGCACGCAGCTGTTGCCCCACAGGTTGCTGCGATCCCAAATCTGAAATTCACAACCAGCCTTCGCTCTCCTTCCCGGTTTAGCTGGAAGTGGGATGAGCCCATTTGAGGTTGGGGTAACGCGGGCGGTAACTGCAAGGCGATCCAACCGGTCGGTCCTGGAGAAGATCAACCCCGACTGCTCTTGAGAAGGCCAGATCCTGAAGTGGAGACTCAAGGACTTTGGCCCCCTAATGAGAAGGAAGGACTCCCTGGAGAAGAGCCTGATGCTGGGAAAGATGGAGGGCAAGAGAAGAATGGGACGATGGAGAAGGAGGTAGCTGGATGGAGTCCCTGAATCAGTGGGAGTGAGCTTAAATCAGTGGTTCTCAACCTTTTTAATGCCGTGACCCCCAACCGGTCGTAAGTTGAGGACTACTCAACCGGTCGTAAGTCGAGGACTACTCAACTGGTGCAGCACCGTTTGCAGAATGGGACTTTTGGCGGGCTCAGCAGGGCAGAGACAGCCTGGACAATTCCTATTGGCTTTTGAAAGTCAATTGAATAAAAGGGAGTAGCACAGCTAAGGAAAAGGGGGGGGGGGGAAATGGCGGACTGCGTTGTTTGGCGACCCCCGTGAAATGGTCGTTTGACCCCAAATGGGGTCCCGACCCACAGGCTGAGAACCGCTGGCTTAAATGGACTCCAGAAGATGGTGGAGGACAGGGAAGGCCTGGAGGAACGTGGTCCATGGGGTCGCCTTGAGTCAGACACAACTTCGCAACTAACAACAACAACAACGCAGGCATTGGGTTCAAGAGATGGGATGGAAGGAGGATCCTGCATGGGGCCTTTCCCAGACAGAGGGGGAGGAGGGAGAGGAGACAGAGAAGGTCATCCTGAGCTGCTGCTGGGTGGACAATGACATCAGCTCTTTTTGTGGCTGTTGCTATCATTGACCTAAAATGCGGCTATTTGGCTTGATATTGATCTGTTTTGCAGGACCTTCAAAAACGAATCTGCGCCGGGAACTGGTGATGGAGGGATACCAGGCGCCGGGTGCAGGGAAGGCGGCTTGCCAGTCACAACAAACGTTCCCGGTGAAGAGATTCGGGCAGCCCTCGATCTCCAATAGTTCACTTAGTGACCGTTCAAAGTTACAACGGCACTGAAAAAAGTGACGGATGGCCGTTGTTCACACTTACGACCGTCGCAGGATCCCGAGGGTCACGTGATCAAAATTCAGATGCCCGGTGACTGACTCACGTTTACGACGGTTGCAGAGTCCCGGGGTGGGGGGGGGGTCACGTGATCCCCTTTGGCGACCTTCTGACAAGCAGAGTCAATGGGAAAGGCAGACTCATTTAACGACGGTGCGACTGGTTTAACAACTGCGGTGATTCACTTAACAACCGTGGCAAGACAGCTTGTAAAATGGGGCAAAACTCACTTAACAACAATTTTGGGTTCAATTGTGGTCGTAAGTCAAGGACTACTCAGGCTTGGATGAAGGAGCTGCATTTGGAGAAGGTTCAGTCCCCAAGTGCGGGTCCTTCAGCCAAGGGTGGGGGTCTGTAGAGGGGAACCTTTGTAGCTCAGGGTTAAACTGGGGGGTCCTCGGTGGTCTCTGAGCTGGGCGGTTCCCTTGCAGACGTTTTGTGACCCAGCTAGGGAACATCATCAGTGGTAGAAGGGAGGGGGGAGGAGGGGGAGGAGGGGGAGGAGGAGAAGGGGGAGGAGGAGGAGAAAGAGGACGGGGGGGCGGTCTTTGGTGTCTCTGAGTTTGGCGGTTTTCTTGCAGACGTTTCATGACCCAACTAGGGAACATCATCAGTGCTAATAATGATGATGGTAGCACTAATGATGTTCCCTAGTTGGGTCATGAAACGTCTGCAAGAAAATCACCCAGCTCAGAGAGCACCAGGGACCCTTCCTTCCTTCCTTCCTTCCTTCCTTCCTTCCTTCCTTCCTTCCTTCCTTCCTTCCTTCCTTCCTTCCTTCCTTCCTTCTAGCATTGACGATGTTACCCAGTTGAGTCATGAAAAGTCTGCAAGAAAACCACCCAGCTCAGAGAGCACCAAGGACCCCACAGTCCTTCCTTCCTTCTTCCTTCC